CTATGCGTGACTCTTTTAGGAGAAATCGTTATCAATGGTGTCGAACTGCTACTAATAATTTCCACTTAGACATTCATGTTTCTTACAAAATGGCATTTCCAAGCGTGGTGTGATTCGTGACAGCCATGTTGAGTAGGTTGTGGGATTTCACTCCAATGTTGGTCATTTTCCTTCTGGTATTAATTACTGAAATTTTTGAAATAATCTATGGCTGTGAACTTTGCTATCATTTGAATATTCCAAGAGTTCAGGTGTTCACAGACTGTGCTGAGACAATTAATCTGATCAGCAGGACTAATGTGAGTTATCACCCATTTAGAGACACTATTGAGTATGCGAGGAATTGTTTGACTCATCCTAGTATAGTCTCTGAATTTCATGTACCGTGAAGCTAAATTCCATGCTCATTTACTTGCTCTCAATGCTTTAGATTATGTCGGTAGTTTTTATAATTTTGATCAGCCACCTGGATTATAAAAAGAAGAGGTCTCATACGGTAACCTGATCTCTTTGTATCCTTTGTTGGACTTTTGTACCTCCTTTATTAAAAAAAAAAAATGATGTTCTGCATTTTGAAGCGGTGCAAAAATATGCAAATATTTGCAGCGATAGCCAAGCTGTTGCTTGTGTACTCCCTCGACTTCTTTATCTTCCCCAAATACGTTTCCTGATCCGTTATTGCCTCGTTGATCCATGTCTGCATGTCATTGATCTTCGCATCTGTCAAGCCTTGTCGCCGGGAACCACATTCAGAGGTCGACTTAGTGCATCGTTCGAGGACAAAGATGACAGCTTAGAGAGTTCGCTATGGGTAACACGAAGAGACAGTCTGAGAAATATTTGAATCATCCTCAATTTGTCTTCTTTCTCCATGTGATGATAACTTGCTATTTTTAGTTCACTCTTTCTTTGTTGCCATCCATGTATCTCACCATGGATTTTAAGAAATTATTCAAATCCAATTTGATCTAAAATGATGAATGTTTTAATAATGTATAGAGATAGAGAAAGGAGGTTGCACGCAGGTATACGGAGATGACGTGCAGAGAAGAAGATCAAATGGTAAAAAGACATCACACATAAAAAGTGTGATCAAATGGTAAATGTTTGTTACAGGAAATGGCATTATGCATTTGATGTATAAGGTGGTGTAGATATAGAAAAGGCTCTGGTCAGTCAAATCTGCACAGGCGGGTTCAAATTTCATAAGTTGTATGAAGTTAAAATATAGTGGACAAATGAAAATTAGTTGTCCAATTGGATAAATCAGAGGTGGGGGTTGCGGACAATGGAACTTTATGTGTGTTGACAAATATGATTGAATATTTAATGCATGGCAAAATCAGTCCAGTGTAAGTATTTGACCAAAAATAATTTTTTTATTATAAGTATTATCTACTACATAGTTCATACACAAACAATAAAAAGGGTGCCATTGTGTTGAAAAGTTATAAAAATATTCTCAATTCCAACTATATTATGAACCTAATGTTGGTAAGGAAAAAATAGAATAACAATAATTTTTGGAATTAATCTTATATGAAAATTGAGAAATATTCTTATCAAATGAGATAAATTAATGCCATCATTGATTTTGCTTTTTCTTCTTCAAGATGAAAAAGTGCATGTAATATTTTTGTATATAATATCAATGGAATGTTAACAACAAAAATGGGATGAAACCCTGAAAAGTGTGAACTATGATTGAAAAAATTACATATAAGTCCCACATAAAAAAATTTATCATCATGTATTTTCATGAAATTCACAAAATTCTCACATAATTTTCTTTGAAGGCATTTTGTGAATTTTATGAGACCACTTAATAATAAATTTTTTTATATGGGACCTAGATATAATTTTTTTCAAAGAAATTTATGAATAACACATTATAAACATAAAGGTGCATGCAGAAAGAGTAACTTGTCTAATTTGTAAAAAAATACACTATCCTATCTCTTAAGTCTGACAAAAAGAAACACGATAAAAAAAACTTTGACAAGAAGAGGAAATATTTGTAGGAATAAATATATATTAAAAAAAGTCAATAATTAGTTATTTTAGTAATAACGCCACCTCTTGTTTTGAAAAGAGGTTATGAGGTTAACATATTTGTGTGTGTTTCTCTCCTTTTTTTTTTTTGAAGAAAGGCTTTATATTATATAAGGATAAAATAAAAAAATGTATATATATGACAGTAAAAGTGAAAGGTAATTAGAAAAAAAATGAGCAAAAGCAAAGAGTATGTGTATGAATGTACATTGGTTGCAAGAATGAATGTGTGTTTTTTAGGGGGGATAAGAGAAAGAGTATTTATAAAGTAAAGTCATGTATGATGGAAGAGTTTTTTTATAAAATTAGAATTAAAATCAGAATTGAAATAGAATTAAATTTTGTATGATGATAGAATATTGATATAATTTTAATAAGTATTTATACTTAAAATGATAAAAGACCAAATATCCTTTTCCTAAAAATTAAATACCTCATGTGTCCCTTTCCTTTTTCTCTCTAACCCTCTAACCCTCTTCTTAGACAGCAACATACAAACCCACGAAAAAACATATTAGAATCCCCCACAAATCTTAAAAACAAATCATTTTAAAAACATATCAGGGTCAGTCCAGCATGCACAGGTCGAATGAGGTACCATTGAATTGTGAAGCGATGGTTGTGGAGGTGCAGTGGTGGTGGAGATGCTGATGTGATGGATTTGCCAACAACAAAGCTATGATGGTTGAAGAATTGTGATGCCCTCCTTGCCTTCTTCTTCCAAACTCCTCACACGAATTGTCTAGTGGAAAGATTTTGATTGGACTCGCGACTAGTTTGGATTTCAATGTGACTACGGCATTCTTTTATGTGTTATCTTCATCTTCTTGGTGTTAGCTTTATGGGTCCTATTCTTCCGCGAGAATGGGTCCCATTCTGTCGGAGTTGCTAATGATGGAGGCATAGTATTTGTGAAGTTCAACTAGCAATAGATCAAAGTTGACGGCTGAAGGGTAGAAGAGAGAAAATGTTAGATTCTAGGGAGAGTTGTCCGATTTCATAGAAGTAAATGAAGAATTCAATTTTGCCATTTTTCTAGAATTAAGATTCTTGAGAGTTGTAATTCATGTGTATCAAATATCACTCTCTTAGGATTCTCGCACCAATTCCTTTTCCATGCCTAGGATTTCCACTCTACTAAATATGGCCTAAGAGAGGGATGGAGTTAGAGATAAGGGAGATGCAAAAGAGAAGATTAAAAAGAAACGGAGTAACGTGCAAACTTTATCAAATATTCATTTTGTTTCAAATCATAAAATAACTTAATATACAAAAGAAAGGTGATTTGAAATTCAATACTAATATTTTATAATTTTATATTTTTAAAATAAAAATGTAAATTTTTAAAAATATGTTTTATTTAATATAGTTTTAAATTTATAATCATTTCAATTTTCTCTGTCCTTAAAGAGTAATATTTATATGTTTTATTTAATATAGTTTTAAATTTATAATCATTTCAATTTTCTCTGTCCTTAAAGAGTAATATTTAAAAAAATTATTAATAAAATTTTATTTTTGTCAAATTATCTTATATTTTAAGATAGTATTATTTTTTAAAAATTATCTTATAATTTGATATGGAGGAGTGTTTGATAAAAGAATGATCATACATGTTAAAGAAATTTAGCTTTATTTTTTGTAAATGCAACTAAAAAGTAATAAAGTGGACAATTAGTAGAAAGCTTGACTACATGCATCTTGCAAATATTTTTGTCAAAACATGTCTTGGAGATTAATTCACTTCTCATTCTTTCCTCTTTTCTTTTCTTTTTTTTTTTCTTTTTTTTGTGTTTGGGGAGGCTGATAGAGAAGCCTCAAGGAGACTAACTAATTTAAATCAAATTTCAAGTATCAAACTTTAAGTATTTATAAGTTTGACTCTTAATTTTGTAATTTTATTGTGATGAATTTATAACTTATGTTTTAAATTTTAATAAGAAAAATAAATTTATTTATTTTCAATGATATTAAAATTTAAAAAATAAGTTACAAATTCATTATAATAAAGTTGTAAAATTGAGAGAGGAACTTGCTAATTTTTAAAGTTTGGTACTTGAGATTTAATTTAAATTAATTGATCATCTTAGGATCTATTTGTCATTCATCCTCTTGTTTTTCTCCTTCAAAGATAAACTATTTATATTAGAGCTGGTAATATAAGTTAACTCATAAATTACGGAGTTGGCTCGTAATAGATTGTGAGCTAGCAAGGTAGGTTAGTATAAGCCGCATCCTATGCGAGCTATAATTTTGCCAACTCACATAACCCACAATGGGTTGGCGGATTTCTTTAATAACTTTTTTTTTTAATTTTAAAAATTACAAATTCACCTTTTAATATTATTTTTTAGTGGTAGAAGAAATCATATATTACCCCTAAAACTAATTAACTAAATAGCAATAAAAGTTCTTCTAATCAAGTCATATTTATATCACCACTTAAATATAGACTGATTTAATTTTGTAATCATTTTATTCTATAGTTTTTGTACTTTATGCAAGTTTCTCTTTTTCATATACGCAATTTCTTTTCTTTGTCTTGTTTATATTTCATCACTCCTCAACATTGAAAGAGCATAAATGACTAAGTCCAATTAATTATTGAAAATTGTTGGTAATTTCTAAATTAGATCTTTATTTGGACAAAATAAAAATATAATATTATTATTTGAGATATTTAACTTATATATGAGGAGTGTGTTTTTATTATTTTCTGCTATAATTTAAACTTGAATTAAAGAAATGTACAAGTGTCAATTATATTTAAACTGCAATTCCATGCATGTTTATTATGTATACTTTACTTTAAACTCAATCTTATTTATTTATTTTTTATTTGTTTTTTTTAAATATAAGCGAGCTAACTAACTAACCTACAAGTTAAAACAGCCCTGTATCTAAGCAAACTCATTTTCTCCGACCCAACTTGGAGCACTAATGTAACATCCTAATTTTTTATATAATAAAGAAATTGTGGAATTTAGGTTTTGAGAAAAAAAAATGATAATAATAGGAATTTATATTATTTGAGGTTATTTAGAAATAATATTATGGTTAGGTATTTAATTATAAATTTAAAAATTTAAATTTAAAACCACATAAGCAATATTTAGTTAAGATATAATACATAAATAATTTTTTTTATGTATGTGTTGAAAAAAAAAAGAGAGAAAGTAGAAGGAACAAAAAAAAAAGGGGGTGGAAGGTTGTTGTTTCTAAGTCCCACATTGGTTAGATGAGGGAAGAGAAGAGGTGCCTTCATGTATAAAAAGGAGGGGGTGTGTGCATTAGGAAGCATGAGAGGCTAAGATGCAATTTAGAGAAAATTACAACTTTTGGCCCAAAGGTTTGAATAATTAAATTCAAACCTATAGTTTTTTTTAATATAATTTTGGGACTCACAATCCCATTTTTATATTATTTTTCTCTCTTCCTCTCACGTTGCTCGGCGTTTTCTCGCAAGGGGGGATTATTTTCTTTTTCTTCAGGTATGTTCTAACTTTCCTGTTTAGATTAGCATTTAAAAATTTATTTAATTACAAAATTAATTTTATAGTTATTTTCTAAATAATATTAGCTTTCTAGTGATATGATTATTTTGTAGGATAGAGTAAATGTTTTGATTAGGATTTTTCTATAGGATAGTTAATCTGATGATATGATGGATTAAAAATATAGGTTAAAATTCTTAGAGATATAATAAATATTATAGAATATTTTCTTGAGGTTGAAACTCATGTTTAAGAATTTTTGAGTTAAAATCTAGATCTATATGGTTGAATTTATGTGGAATCTGAGACGTAGGGATAAACCTATGATTATTAAATATTTATTTAAGTATGAATAGGTATTTTTGAGGTTATAGAAAGGTTATTTGAGGCTTCAGGATAATTCTAAAATTTTTAATTTATTTTTGGATGAATTTTTAGAATGTAGAAGGATGAAATTGTGATACTAGAAGTGAATTGAGGATAAAAAAATAGTTCATTAGGGTACGAGAATTTTAGAAAAGAATTTGGGAAGTTAAATGAGACATAAATCTTAAATTAGTGTTAATATGGACTATAGATTTAAGACTTTCTAACTCTTTAAATTAGAGTTATTTATTTTAATGTAAAATTAATATATAGTATTGTGAAATAATTATGTAGATTATATTGACAAAGATAGTGGTGAAAAAGGAGTTGTGAAGGGGAACTTGTTATTCAAGACACAAGGTAACCATTATTAATGTGTTGTGAGGGGTGTGTTTGTAAATGGTTATGTGTTGTTTTATTGTTTGAAAAAAAATATGAATTAATGAAAATAAATACTGTATATATGTACTTGTTTGAAATTATTGCCAAGTGGGTTAAAAATTTATTTTTGTTTATCATGATGAAATATTATTGTTCGGATATATTCCTGTTTGGATATTTGAATGATGCATGACTTATCAGGGTATTTTAATGTATGGTGTTAATGAGAATTTCTGTTCGGTTAATTATTACCACGTGGTAAGCCCTCATTGGACCCAATGAGTGGCGTGTCGCTTGGTCCAACTCACCTTTGGCCGGGTGATTTGGCGTCCGAGCATGGTGAAAGGAGGATATAAGGTGTAGTCATGCAATTAAATACTTGTTCGGTTTGTTTGGAAATATTGTTCGGTTAAATGTTTTGTGTGCCCACTTAGCAATCGCATGATTAGTTACATCCGCATGCATCATTACATATTAATTTTTGGTTACTGGGACTTTTAAGTCTCATTCCCCGTGGTTAATATTTTTACAGGAGCGAGTCCGGTCGAGAAAGCACCAGAGGTGTAACTATGGTGTATGAAACACCATCTTTTACGTTGCCTCTTGTTTTGAATTATACAATGTATCTTGTGCCAACTTAGGACATATCTTCTTTGTGAAGCATGTAAACTCTAATCCTTTTTATTAAAAGTATTTATTTGACTAAGAGGATTATGTTTGTCCCTCTTGATTCATGACCTAATTTAAATATCATGCCATGAGGATCCTGACTGTCCCTCATGGTTCTAATTGCTTTTTAAGATATTTTAAGATCTGTGGTATATTGTCTTGGATGTATCATGGTAAGAAAATTTTCTACCATAATAATGGTTTTAATAATTTGCGAAAAATCGGTTTGTATTTTTGAGGGTGTTACATATATGTTGACCCAATGGTACCAGACTTCGCCTCAACTTCGTTAAGGTGGTAGAGGTTGGAGGTTCGAGTCTGGGGAGGTTCCAAAAGACCCTGGAGAGGCAGTGGTGAGGAATAACCACAGTACCACCTGTGGGAAAGTCGGCTTTGGTCCAGTGATGGGCCAGAGTCCAGTACCGAGTCGAGGCCCAAGGGGTGGCTCCGTACTGTTACATAAAAGGCGCCTTTTATGTAACAGCCCTCCTGGGTCACCACTGCCTTTCCAGGGTCTTTTCCCAGGCGCTGGACAACACACATGTCACCACATGATTGCCGGCTTTCCCACTGGTGGTACAGTGGTTATTCCTCACCCCACCCTCACGGGGGTCTTTTGGAACCTCCCCAGACTCGAACCTCCAACCTCTACCACCTTAACGAAGTTGAGACGAAGTCTGGTACCATTGAGTCACTTGGTTCAATGGTACCAGACTTCGTCTCAACTTCGTTAAGGTGGTAGAGGTTGGAGGTTCGAGTCTGGGGAGGTTCCAAAAGACCCCCGTGAGGGTGGGGTGAGGAATAACCACTGTACCACCAGTGGGAAAGCCGGCAATCATGTGGTGACATGTGTGTTGTCCAGCGCCTGGGAAAAGACCCTGGAAAGGCAGTGGTGACCCAAGAGGGCTGTTACAACTAATGTCATCATTGATTTTGGCGGGGCTTTACCTTGGCCATCACAACTTTACAATGCTACAAGGTAATTGGGCAGTTTGATTTAAGAAACTATAGGAGCCAACATATTGCTTATCCGTACCATCTATTGTTGAATTTTGATGCTTAATTTGTTTAAGGATTGAGGACAGTTTCTATGTTTTTTTATTTTATTCTCACATCATTGAATATATGCAAATATGTATGTCTGATAAATAGTGGAATATCATCTCAACATTTTTTCCCCCTTTTTTGAGGTATATTTCAAAATCCAAATATCATAGGAACAAGAAGAGTCAGGAAGAAGCAGAGACACTGCATCATGCTCATTCACTAAAATCTCGCATTATCAGGCTTTTATCATTAGGTGATGATATGGGAGTAATTTTTTTTTTAAATAGTTTTATTCTTATTGTACTATCTGGAAATCACGTAAGACGTACATGTAGTACATTCCCCTTTTTTTCCCCTTGGGGACGAGCAAACATGAATTCAAAATTTAGTAGTATAGAAAGCTACCATAAGGGGTCTGTAAGCATGTCATAAAGAGGTATTTTGCAAGCTGGGAGCACTGTGTGACGAAAATATTAGGTTATTATGTAATGTGTAATTGTTGGACATTGGAGACAATGAACTGATGAAGTATGTAATGCGTGGGGTGCAAATTTTGAAGGCATTTAGAACTTCATATTGTGTTTGTGGTACTACTAAGCAGAGCTTTACGATAAATTTTACTAATGTTCTGAAAAAAAAAATGTAAATCTAGGTTTGACGTAATTATAAGCTATTCAGTAGTGCTGGCAATGTGAAATTCAATTTTTAGCTTAACTGATTGGAGAAGCAACTATTGTTCATCTATTATAAGAGAGTATAATAAGGTTAGTTATTTATTAGCAGTATATACTAAAAGTAATATGGATCTAGCCGGTTTGGTGTTTGCACCTTCATATCTTTATTGCAGTTATTCGTGTTAAAATGTTGATATAATCAAAAATTGAAAGTATTAAGAGAAATGTCAAACGTGAAGAAAGGGAAAGTGAAGGTATTGGCTAAGATTCTGTGAATAATTGGATATTGCATTTACTTGTTTTTGAATAGACTGTAATAGGTTTGTTTGAAAATTACATCAATGGATGCTAATTTGACCAATTTATAATAGCTAGCCATGTCAAAGTTTTCATATTATGTCGAAGTTGTTTGACACTAACAAATTTCAATATTCGGTATAAAGTTCAATAACAAGCTCCTATCTTTAGACAAAGCTATTATCTTGCCTGAATGCATATTTGGATCGCATCGATAATGTAATCATACTATTACAAAAGTACATTAAATATTCAAAATAAATAATATAAGAAATAATTTGAATAAAATTAAGCCAAGAAAAATCTTTGAAAATATGCTCCCGTAAAATGCACGAAAAAGTGAACGCTAGTCGCTTGCTATGTTAATAAAATAAATTATTTTTTCATTTTTTATTTTACCAATTTAAATATATATTTTAAAATAATAATTTAAACAGATTTTTTTACTTAAACATAAAAACAGAATCCAGTACCAATCAAGCAATTTCCATCGACAGAACGGCCTGGCAATCCATTTCCTTCCTCTCTGACTCTGTAAAATTCATTTCCTTTCTTCGTTTCCACCGAAAGAGCTTCAAAACCCGCTCCCTCATGCACGGTGGTCCGCCGTCGAGGGAGATAACCTCCAGCCCTGTCGAGGTTCGAAACTTGTCGCCTCAAGGATTCTGCTAAAGCCACAAAATTCAAGAAACCGAGGAAACTAGTTTCTTAAGCATATTGCTAAACCCTAGAATAATGGTTTGAAATTCTCGATACTTTTTTGAGTGTTTTCCTTATAAAAATTCTCGGCTTTTCCCCTTCACAGCCCCATTTCTGAAGCTCCTGATATTGACATCAGCGAGTGATCAAGAAACCATAAACTGATGGCATGAGAAGAAATGCTGACAAGTATGCATGAATTCCGCACAGTATACTCGATGTGGATTAGATGGGACGAATAGTCAGTGTGTTGAAATAATAAGAAATTTTTGGGCAGTTGAACAGCCGAAGCTTTCTTACTGTGTTCTGGAGTTATCTCGCAGCAAAGCCAACATGTCATTGTCCATGTCCATCCAGCTGTTGGAGTCCATAACTTGCCCGCCACCAGACTCATTCATGCACCATTCTCATTTTTCATCCAAGCGAACAAAGCCACCTTGCCTGTCCTTCCGGCCTTCAAAATCCTTCCAATCCCATTTCTTCAAACTTGATGAACCTGTGAACTCAACCACTTACGCCTTTATTCTCGAATCTTGTGTGTGCCCGAGTTTGGGTGAACAGGTGCATGCTCACTCCATCAAGACTGGGTTTCAAGAGCATGACTTTGTTGAAAACAAGTTGCTTCAGATGTATGGAAGAACTGGCTGTTTAAAAAATGCGAGTTTGCTGTTCGACAAAATGCCTCTTCGAAACGTGTATTCATGGACAGCTATCCTGAGTGCTTATGTTGATCATGGGTTATTTGAGGAAGTGCTTCTTCTTTTTCAAGAACTGCTAGACGAAGATGTTCAATTGGACTTCTTTTTGTTCCCTGTGGTGTTAAAGATATGTTATGGTCTTGATGCTTTGGAATTGGGTAGGCAACTACATGGGATTCTCTTGAAAAGTCAGTTTGTTAAAAATATTTATGTGGGCAATGCTCTGATAGATATGTATGGTAAATGTGGAAGCTTAGACAATGCAAAGAAAGTTCTAGAAAAAATGCCAACAAAGGATTGTGTTTCTTGGAATTCTATTATCACTGCTTGTGCTACAAATGGGAAGGCATATGAGGCTATGGATCTCTTACAAAATATGTCTCTTGCTGATGTGATACCCAATATAGTTTCTTGGAGTGCAGTCATTGCAGGATTTGCACAAAATGGTTATGACGAGGAAGCAATTCAACTTCTCTTTAAAATGCAAGCAGCAGGGCTCGAACCAAATATGCGGACACTGGCAAGTGTTATTCCTTCTTGTGCAAGGTTACGAAAACTGAACCTCGGGAAAGTATTACATGGTTTTATCATTAGACGTAATTTCACGTCTAATGCTTTTATCATTAATGGGTTGTTAGACATGTATAGGAGGTGCAATGATATGGAAAGTGCCTTCAAAATGTTTTCCAAGGTTTCAAGGAAATGCTCTGCTTCTTACAATACAATGATAGCAGGGTATAGTGAAAATGGCAACATCTTTAAAGCCAGGAGGTTATTTGATGAGATGGAGCAGGAGGGTGTTGAAAGGGAAAGAATATCATGGAATTCAATGATTTCAGGATACGTGGACAACTTTCTGTATGATGAAGCCTTAAGCTTGTTTCAAGATTCACTTAAAAATGGAATTACTCCAGATTCCTTCACTCTTGGAAGTGTTCTTACTGCTTGTGCTGACACGGCTACCATTCTACGAGGGAAACAGATACATACCCAAGCCATTGTCAGAGGTCTGCAATCCAACAGTTTCGTTGGCGGAGCTTTGGTAGAATTTTACTTTAAGTGCCATGACATATTTTCTGCTCAAAGGGCTTTTGATGAAGTGAGTGAAAGGGATATAGCAACTTGGAATGTTTTGATATGTGGCTATGCGCACTGCAATCAATCTAAAACGGTTCAAGAACTTCTCCAGAGAATGGTAAGTGATGGTTTTGAGCCCAATATGTATACTTGGAATGGTGTTTTAGCTGGGTGTGTGGAAAATAGCCATTATGATTCAGCAATTCAATTGTTCACTGAGATGCAAAACTCAAATTTGAAACCAGACATATACACAGTTGGAATAATTTTAACAGCATGCTCTAAGTTGGCCTCCATCCAACGAGGAAAGCAGGTCCATGCATATTCAATTAGGGCTGGGCACGATTCAGATGTTCACCTTGGAGCTGCCTTAGTGGACATGTATGGGAAATGTGGGCATATCAAGTATTGCATGATTACTTATAACAGAATATTAAACCCTGATCTGGTGTCCCACAATGCTATTCTTACTGCTTATGCCATGCATGGACATGGGAAGAAAGGAATTGCTCATTTTCGCAAAATGTTAGCTGGCCAAGTTAGACCAGATCACATCACTTTTCTATCAGTTCTTTCTTCATGCGTTCATGCTGGATCAACTGAGATGGGTCGTGAATGCTTTTCCCTGATGGAAACTTACGGCTTGGCGCCCACATTGAAGCATTATACATGTATGATTGTCCTCTTGAGCCGTGCAGGCAAACTCAATGAAGCATATGAACTTATCAAGAAAATGCCAATGGAAGCTGATTCTGTGACGTGGAGTTCTCTGCTTGGAGGTTGTTTTATTCACGGTGAAATTTCCCTAGGAGAAATTGCGGCTAAAAATCTCTTGGAGTTGGAGCCTAACAACAATGCAAACTATGTTCTATTAGCGAATTTATATGCTTCAGCAGGGAGATGGTATGATCTTGCTCAAACCAGACAACTGATGAAAGAAGAAGGCATGCAGAAGAGTCCAGGATGCAGCTGGATAGAAGACAAAGATGGGGTTCACGTGTTTCTTGCCGGTGATAGAACTCATGCAAGAACAGAGGAGATATATTCGACTTTGGATAATTTGACTCATTACATTAGAACAAGGCATTCAAGTCATTTATGACATGAGAATCTTGTTTTTCCCTTCTTGGCCTGTACATAATGTACTGGTTAAACAGAAATAAGAAAGCCGAGTGTTTGGGGGGGGGGGGGGGGAGTTGGGAAGTGCTCTACAACACAATCAAAGCATCGAGAGAAGCCCATCTCTCTGTGTCTTAACATGGCTCCGAGTAATGTCCTTCAGATTAGGGCATCCAGTTAGAGCCATAGTGAGCTCCAGCTCTGTCTTGAGTGTTTCAATGACATGTCTCACCCCACCTTCCCCTTTTACAGCAAGTCCATATATTACTGGCCGTCCAACCTGCATGGACCAGTAATTGATGATAGTAATTATTGAATTTTAAGGGAAATTTTTAAGATTCATAATTATTGAAGATTACTGATCTGAATCTTTCCTTTTCTTTAAAGCTTAATAATAAGTATATATATTTTGATGGGGGTAATGGAGAGGGAGGAGAGGTGAAACTTGTCACTTAGACTAAAGGAAAAAATGGTGGCGGACTTTCAACCAACCTTTCAAAATCTTCCACAGGCCTCCCCTTATGTATTTTCAAGTTACTTTAAATTGAGAGATTATGGATTCAAAAACATTTTCCCCAAAAAACGGGAAGGAAAATCGTCATCTGACTACCGATTCCTCATCCTTCTCGCCCTTCTCTTTTTCTTTGATTTTTTTTTTCACTGAGGGAATTTTATTGTTACATGTGAAATAATAAGCAAGAATATTATAGGTCATGTATATTATGTCGATGAATCCATCTGGACAGCGAGGCCCTTCTCATATGTGCGGTCTCTCAAACATACCCTAAATTGAAGTCAAGTCAGATTGAAATATGTACTCCTTCTAGGTAGAGAGGGGAGAATTTTTTTTTATTTTATTTATAAGTCATGTCATTAAATTTTTATTATAAATTTTTTTTAATTCTTCATTAAATGTTGGAGAGAGAGAATATATTATTGAAGTGTGTATATTTAATAGGGGTAAAGTTAAAATCTTATTAAATTTTAAAATAAAATTAATGAGTTTTAAAGTTTTTTTAATATTGGTGAAACATGTTAAAAGTGATTTATAAATAGGACAAAGTAATACTTAAAAGTCAGGTATAGATGTTTTCTACAAAGTCACCAAAATAACCCATGCCAAAAGTGTATAAATGCACAGGGCTTAGTTGTTGGTTGTTCTGTAGATGGATTATAAGAGATCACTTTATCAGCTAAGGTTTAGAGCTTACAAGGACAGCTTGTGCACCGACGGCTAAAGCTTTAAATACATCTGTTCCTCGCCGCACACCACCGTCGAGGAGCACTGGAGTTTTACCTTTGGTAGCATGCACCACCTGCATTCATAGGGCAACAATATGAATCATACTGGGCTCGCTAAACCCCAATAATACTCGCCTGTCACTTGTTTCAAGCATGAGTACTCTAATTACATGGCATAGCAAACATGTAAAACAACCTAAATTAAATCAGACTTTCTTTATGTATTCTTTCCATTATACTTTTGAACCCCGAATCATACCAAGCACTATAATCATACAACTAAATAGGAGCCCCGTCTGTCACAGAGTTCGATGATTGAGAGCAGTATGATCTGCTATAGATCTTATACTTTACTTTCTCTGGTCTTATATAGTAGAAGTAAGTTTTGGCCTTTATACAAGGCATTCTGGAGAATCATTGAAGCATTAAAGAATATTTTCTAAGTATGCCCCTCATTTTAATGTGAATGAATTAAAAAATAATGTCAATAATGCTATGCAAACAAAAAAAAAAAACTTATTTGGAAGAATGGCAGTGAGATCTCCCGGAGGAAAAAAACAATAAGAGCTTAGAACAATTGAAAATTCATCTATGCACAAATTCAAATTCATCAATTCACTTAAATATAAATGAACTTTTAGTTGTTTTGCCCTTCACTATTTTTTTTTTATCTCGGGGCCCACGCTGCCATTCTCCCAACTTATTTCAACCTATTCATAAAATTATTTGGATGAGGATAACCCTTTAAATACAGCTTAGATTTTTTGGATTATTAATCTCATGGCTGCTGGTTGTGGAGATGTCTTGGACAAAAAAGATATATAAAAAATTTAATTTCTATTTTTGCAAGTTGCCACAGTGAATGCTGTCCATCGCAGGCAAATTTGCCCATTGCAGCCGCAATTTTTGCCTACAACCACATCAAGCTAAATATCTGCATTTTTTATATTAAGCCCTTTTTATGTGTGTGTGAGCAAAAAACCATATGTTTTGACGATAAGAAGAAAAATTATACTGAATTTACTTGATCCGATATCATATAATGAATCACCTCTTCAAGAACAGAAATAGTGGCTGGAGAATAATCAAGCTGGCGGGCTCCATGATTGGAGGAGATTATACCAGCAACACCTATTTCCACCGCCTTAATTGCTGCCAATATGATTCCATTACATATTGAGTACTTTATTAGTGAATACATTGCAACAATGTCAGCAGAAGCATTAAGGCATAAGTTTTGAAAATTAATTGACTGCCAGAAGGATTTCTATGTAAGAGACGAATGAATCAATTATTTTCTCATTAAAGCAAAAAGTTCTCAAAGCAAGCCTTTCAAGGGTTTAACCCATTCTTTGTAAAATGGATCATCAAGCAGATTGATACGCTAAACTTTTACATACCATCTTCACCAGTAAGTATACCCTTGATGACAATGGGCAGACTCGTAATAGATTTCAGCCATGCTATATCCTGCAGACAATATGGTGCTCTATTTAGTATACAAAAACAATTGTTTTAGATCTTCACCATCAACAATTAAAGTGAGAGTGCAATATATATGCTTATGATAACATCTTAGGCATCAATCCTCCAGAGACAATCAGCTAGGCCATGTTCCTGCACTCATTAAACTAGATTAGTGGTTCTCCTAAAAGTACGTTACTCCAGTTTTATATCATTGGATATTAATGCTGAACTTAAAGATGCAGAAGATAGAAAATCAGTACCTACCGAGTAAAAAACATAATTAATATGGTTATATCCTCGCGAGTGATATTTGGTAAACCAAGTCCAAGAAGCTGAAAATTTTCATGGGATTTTCTATCGAATAGAAATTTTTTGCATGCTTCAGTGATTCTTTCAATAATAGAACATTTGCTTTTCGCCATTTCATGAAGCATTGCTCATCTCATGATTTTTGAGACATTTCCTAAAAGACTATGAAAAGGGAAAAGTGATCTCTAATTCAATTCTTATACATACCTTCCATTGCAACGATGCATCACGTGTTTGCTTTACATAAGCTTCCAAACCTGAACCATTATCCTGCAATTTTAAATCAAGGTTAACAATTTCATCCAATGAAACCCATAAATGCAGTTTTAGGGCAGCATTAGACCCTCATGCATGTGCGAAAACACATAAAGCATGCCCCTCGCATGTGTTTTTGGGCACACATGTCCATATACAGCGTTGATCAGTTGGCGATCTTGAAGGAAAATTAAAGATAAAATAACTGAAGAAATAAAGGTTTTAACACAAGTCCCAGATTGATTTCTCCAGCATATTCCAAAAGGAGAAAGATAAGATGGGAAAAGCAGACACAGGATACTGCATGCCACTAATAAATTTGATGCGTTAATGTTTGGTCAAATTTATCTCATCTTATATTCTAATACTGAAGTAATTTGGATAACCTACTAATAGAGTTTTGAGATAATGGATGATTTGAAAAGATAGATATTATAAATAAATATTATTTTTAATTTATTTTAGATATTTTTATTTAATAATATTGTTTAGATTTTATTTAGCTATTTAGTTATCCAAATTTTATATAGATGTTTGGATATTTATTTAGATATGTATATATTTATCCAGATATCTAATTATTTAAATTGTATTCATATATTTAGTTCTTTAGATTTTATTCACATTTTATATGGATATAAATTTTAGAAGGTTTTATTCAATTTTATTTAATTATCTAATTATTTAGATTTTATTCATTATTTTAAATTATATTTAGCATTATATACATGCTTAGCAATTTAGAAGTAGACATATCATGAATAAAACAGACTTTTGAGACTTGACTTTTTGAAGATTCTCTAAAGCATGACTATTGAAAAAAATATAGAATGAGATTATTGTTCTATATCATCTTGATAAATTTATTTCTTTTATTTTCTTCTATTGGTTCTATATTCTCTTATTAGTATTATGAAATTAAATTTTGATTTCATATGTTAATAGAGATTTAGGGCCTATTTGGTTTCTGTTCTTATTTTTTAAAAAAAAAAATTTGTAATAGAGTTTCCAAAATTATTTTTCAAAACAAAACAAAACAAAAATCCATTTGGTTATATTAATTTAAAAACAATTTTAGAATTAAAAAATAGATTGATAATAATGATTATAAATGATTAATGATGGAAATTTATAACGCACATTGGTAAATATAATTGTAATTTTTAATAATCAAATGTAGTATATTTTAAAAATAAGAAAAATAAAACAAAAATAATTTGAAGTTGTTTCCATTTTTTTGTTTTTAAAAACAAAAAAATGAAAACTGTTTTGCAAACAAATAAATAGAAAACACTTAATGAAACAAGTTTTAAATTTTTTTATTTTTAAAAACAAAAAAAGTTTTTTAAAATAAAAACTAAATGAGCTCTAATATTTTTTTTTTTAATCATCTTGAAACCTATCACCTACCTACCACCTACCAGTGAGGGATAGCCCAATGCACGAGCCTTGTGCTTTGTGTGGGGTTCAAGGAGGGCCAGACTCACTCTACGTCTATTATATAACCTCACCCTATATTATTGCAAAAGGCAGCTATTTTTCATGACTTGAACCCATGACCACTAGGTCACCTTGTGACAACTTTTTTGCCGCACCAAGTTTCTCCCTCGTGATCTATCTGCCCGTAAATTCTCTAAGAGCTTGATCAGCAAGTATGGAAATAGTCATTGGTTTTCATATGATCACTAGTGTTAGGCACAAACATTTGGATAACATGACATTGCCTATACCCAATTAACTACAGGGAGATCCAAATGATCCCAATTTTACCTTTTTTTTAAATGATATTTCTTTTAAAAAAACTGACATAAGTTCAAAGCAGGATTGCTATGTCTTGACGTTTATGTCTAGGAAGGAAAGCCACGAAACAATAATAGCCTAAGAAGGAGGATGAAGGAGGAATTGATCATAAGACATGCTTGATTCATGATTATTTGTACATGTCAATCAAGACGTTTGAACTAGTGTCCAACTCTTCCTTCAATAATAGTAGAACTAGAGTTTGCTCAATGTAATGGTTAACGAGAGAAGGACCTCTAATTGTTTCAAGTTATTTTTAAAAATTTCCACCAATAACAAGAACTACTTAATAATATAAGGCCTTAACAATGCATAGAAGATATAACTTGTGTGGCCCATGATTTAAGTAATTTTGTTGAAGAAATACATAGAATGATTAAGAAATTTGCATGTTTAAAATGATAGATAACCTATTACATTTTAGATCATGAGGCAGTAATATTATAATGATGCAATTGCAATGGAATTGACAGTTGACAAAGAAAAGGTGGAAATTGGAGTCATACGGATATATATAGTACTTACAGACTTAAATTCACTTGAAAACAAGCCATCAAAGTTCTTCAATTTAGGTGAAATCATTCTGCAGAGGACATTCCAACAACACTAGGAGATAGCTTGCTGCATCAATCTTCACGTACAAAGTATTTGATCCACCCCAACAAACAAATTAATACTAGATTCTGGAAGTTGCTAGATTATTAGAAGGGACTATAGAATATACAACAAAAAAAACATGAATTACTTGTTCCTTATGTCTGCCTCTATTCGACCAAGTCGGGGAACATCAACAGTTACAACAAGGGCTTTATATCCAAGCCTTTCAGCTCTATTCACAAATGCAGCAGTGACATCTCGCCTTTTGTGAACCTGTTGAACATATATCACAAAATTGAATTCAACAAACGATATTTAAGGAATGAGGAGTTGGCAAAATTTGGCACAAAAATGAAGCAAAAATTGAAATCAGAATCATTTGAGAGCAATACATAGAGCTGGACGAACCGAACAGCATTGCAGCTTGACGCAACTTCCTCCACAGTGCAGGTAGTATACCATTAAAGAAAAAGCATGGAAACATTCAGCATGGTGTTTGAGCAAGTGATGTGGCTATCTGTCTTAAGTATACCATTATAGTATCGCATGCCGCTGCTGCTTTGGCTGTGGCAACCTCTCCTGTATTGATGAATAACAGAAAGATATAATAATTTACAAGTAGGAAATAGAAGGTGAATCACATCTTTCCGTGAATTCATACCTTCGGGATGAGCCAATTTGTGAAAAGCAGTAGGAGCGATAATAATTGGTGCGGAGATCCTGTATCCTAGTACAGTAGTAGACATGCTTATTCTACTAACATCCACTAGAACTCTCGGTCGTAAGCTGATCAGAAGTGAGAAACCAACATAGAAAAAGCATCCCATCAGCATCAGTCTATTTACCACAATCAGAATGTCATCAAGTGAATAATAGTACGTTATTCTACGAAATGCTTCCTTATTTTCCTTTAGTGTGAACTCGTCCTCAGCTCCACCAGCATAGAAATCATAATACATTTTTGGGAGAGCTTCTCTAGCCAATTGCTGGAACTCCCTAACATTGACCGGCTCAGGTCCCATTTTCCCTGAAAATTTTACAACTATAAGTTCACACAACTTGTAATTCCTAATGGAAAAGAATCATTAATTGTTAATTTTCTTACTCCATTTATTAATTTATGAATATGATTAGTTACAAATTGCATGAGTTGATATGTTAATAATAATATAAGATTTGACATTAACTTTTCAATCATAAATAGCAACATCAATTGTTAAATTATTAATTTTTATTAATTTACTAATATCAATTATAAATTATTGACAGACCTTATAAATTACTGACAAGTCTTGTAATTTACAACTGACGTTAGTAAATAAACAAGTAAATTTAACAAATTAACAACTAATGTTACTGATTGTCTGATGAATGGATGTACTTTACAAGTGATGTCGGTAATTGTGTATGTGTATGTGTTATGGTGGTCTATTGAGTGTGGTTTAGGGTTAAATTTATGCTTTTAGTTAGAGTCGGTAATTTGGGCTAAGCCCAACGGGCCAGCTCAAATCTATGTAAAAAAATTTAGGATCGAGCTTGGTTATATAAGTTTTTTAAAAAAGGTATGATACTTTAAGTTCGATCCAAATAAACCCAACTGCTGAAATTTTCAACTCTATATGTATATAAAGTTGGCAATTTTGGCCAAGTTCAACCGGCCAGCCCGAATTCGGCCAAAAAAGGTTAGGGCTGGGCTCGGCTACATGGATATTTTTAAGAGGGTAGGATATTTCAAGTTTGATCTGAATAAGCTCAACCTGAATTGAGCTCAACTTGAATAAGTTTGGCTCACCCGAATTACCAACTCTAGTTTTAGCATTTGAAGTGAAAATTGGACAACCAAATTGTGTTTTGATTATAAAAGAAGTAAGTTAAAAAATAGGTGTCCAACTTTTTTTAAGATATTATTTGAATGAATACAAAATCAGTGCCATCAGTTAAAGTTTAAAGAAAGCTTTCAGTAAATACCTAGATATTCTTAATTGAACGTCAGACGAAGAAATGGAACGTGTCGAAAATTCACGCCGAATGCTGTCATTCGACAACAAACCTCATCTTCATTTTTTTCAATCTTCTTCCTTTTATTCAATAATCTTTAAAAATTTGTTTACCTATATATATATATATATTATATTATTTTTTATGATTCTCTTAATATCTTTTAAAAAAAATTAAACTCTACTTCTTTAGTATGCTCAAACACAATTCTTTTATGCTTATATGATTAGCTTCTTAAATGGAAATAATTTACATAGTTCTATTGAATTTTCATTTAAAATATATAACTCTTAGATAATTATTTACTCAAATAATCACATGATAAAATTCAATTACCTTGAAGTAATTCAATAAATTCAAATCAAAGCATATATTTACTGTCTTTACTATTGTACTTTTTATTCATAAAATAATAGTCTAATGCTTCCAGAATATAATTAGAATCAATTAATCTTCATCAATATTTTCTCCAATCTCATATTATATTTTATTAAATCATAATCTTATGTGTCCCTGTGCCTTAGCCAACATAAATTAAGTTACTTTGAATATTAATTTACTTAATAAATCTTATCTTAAATATTACTTAAATTTTATGAGTAAAATTTGGGATGTTACAGGTGGATCGGTGTGCATCTCCTTATAGTCTTATTCTTATTTCATAGCTTGAAAAATAAATGCCCGCCCGGAGCCCAGGAGCCCCACAAAATTGATAATCCACTAGTTCATTTAAATCACACTTTCCTAGTCAAATTATTGACACAACCACTTTTTCTGACGTATCTTAACTGTTCATGGGCACATGTATCTTTCGTCTGGATACATACAGCAATAATTTAACCAAGAAAAAAAGTAAAAAGCGCAATGGGAGTTGATGAAAGAGCTAAATTGATAGTAGGTAGAGAGGCATTGAAAGTGGGGGATCAAATTGGAAAACTTTGCATCTTTTAGCTGACAAAGCAAATAAAGATATTTCCCAGCCATCCGATCCAGAGAATAACCTGGTTAAGCGCATTGGGTATTGTGCAAATTAACATCAGTCTCAAGCAAGTTAGAGCTGAGATAGTCCAAAGAATAGAGAACTCAGAGCAATTAAGAGTAATCCGGTTGACTAAGAATACGATCAAGTAGGCATGAGATACCTGTAAATCAGAGCTGAAAATCCACGAGCTGTGCTGAAATTTGAACGACCCAAAGGCACTTCTCCTTTAAACTAATTTCGAACAGCCAGTCGACAGAGTACGAGCAATAAATAGATGGGACTACAAATGAAGAACAGACAAGGAGGAGTCACGTGAATGATATGCTTCATGCCTTGGATAAAACTTACCACTTCACTGGTGGGCCACTGTACCAATCACAATGATTGCCTAAAATAGTAGTTCATGCACTATCATGTATATACCATACACTTGCGTACATATGCATGGATCCAAATCCTCTCCCTACGCTCCGCTGTCTACATACCTCTCTCTCTCTACGAGATATCTGCCGTCCATATATCACCCACTTGATCCAAAACAGTTCAGTTATCGTTCTCATGTTTCATCCAAGCGAACAAAGCAACCTTGCCTGTCCTTCCAGCCCCTCAAAATCCTTCTAATCCCATTTCTTCAAACTAGATCAACCTGTGAACTCAACCACTTGCGCCTTTATATTCGAATCTTGCGTGTGCCCGAGTTTGGGCAAACAGGTGCATGCTCACTCCATCAAGACTGGGTTTCAAGAGCATGAATTTGTTGAAAACAAGTTGCTTCGGATGTATGGTAGCACTGGCTGTTTACATGATGCGAGTTTGGTGTTCGCCAAAATGCCGCTTAGAAACGTGTATTCTTGGACAGCTATCCTGAATGTTTATGTTGATCATGGGTTCTTTGAGGAAGTGCTTCTTCTTTTTCAAGAGCTGCTATACGAGATGTTCAATTAGACTTCTTTTCGTTCCCTGTGGTGTTGAAGACATGTTACGGTCTTGATGTCCAATGTGAATATTTGAAATGGTATTTTAGCTGGGGGTGTGGAAAATAGCCATTCAGCAATTCAATTATTCACTGAGATGCAGAACTCAAATTTGAAACCAGACATACATGGACTAATTTTAACAGCACGCTCTAAGTTGGCCTTCATCCACCGAGGAAAGCCATTCCATGCATATTCAATTAGGGCCGGGCACGATTCTGATGTTCACGTTGCAGCTGCCATAGTGTAAACCCTGATTCGGTGTCCCACAATGCTATTCTTACTACTTATGCCACGCATGGACATGGGGATAAAGGAATTGCTCATTTTCGCGAATGTTAGCTAGCCAAGTTAGACCAGATGGCATAACTTTTCTGTCAGTTCTTTCTTTATGCGTTCTTGCGGATCAATTGGGATGGGTCGTGAATGTTTTTCACCGATGGATACTTACAGCTTGACGCCCACATCAAAGCATTATACATGTATGATTGTCCTCTTGAGCCGTGCAGGCAAACTCAATGGTGTCAAGAAAATGCCAAAAGAAGCTCATTCTGTGACGTGGAGTTCTCTGCTTGGAGGTAGTTTTTATTAACGGTGAAATTGCCCTTGGAGAAATTGCAGCTCAAAATATCTTAGATTCGGAGCCTAATAACACTGCAAGTTATATTCCTTCTATTAAAAGAAAAACAAAACAAAGAAAAAATATAATTTTTAATCCTTATAGTTTTATCAAATTTTATTTTTAATTTATTTATTTTTTTAAATGTTTTCATTCCTTATAAAAACTAAAAACACCGAAAAAAAAATTAAAAATATAGAGACTTTAAAATAAATGTCATCTAATTTTTTTGAAACTATAAAAATTTAAAAACTATAAAAATGTCATCCAATGGCGTCTTGCAATCCATGTAGCCGACCCTACCTAGTGAGATAAAGAATTGTTGTTGTTTGTTTGTTTGTTGTTTATAAAAATTTAAAACATTAAAAAAAAAACTATAAGAATTAAAAATAAAACTTGATGGAACTATAAAAAACCAATAATTATATTTTCTCAACAATAACAAAGATGAGTTGAGTCCTGAAAGCTTGTTAATTCTTTAGCACGCATTTAGGTTCAAATACAGATTATTCACCAATAAAACCCTTACATCAAGAGTGGGATTTGGTCCCGCAACTTGACCAACTTTTATTTGTTCTGCGAACTTCGTCCTATTAGTGAATCTATATTCTTCAGCAGGGAGATGGCATGATCTTGCTCAAACTAGACAATTGATGAAATACGAAGGCATGCACAAGAGTCCAGAATGCAGCTGGACAGAAGACAGAGATGGGGTTCATGACTTTCTTGCCAGTGATAGAACTAATGCAAGAACAGAGGAGATATATCCATTGGAACAAGGCGTACGAGTCATTTCCAGCATGAGAATCTTGTTTTCCCCCCTTTGGCCTGTACATAATGTACTTGTTAAATAGAAACAATAAAGCCAATTTTATTTTATTTTTTTCTTTTGTTTTTTTTTGGGGGGGGGGGTGGTTGGTAGAGCTCTACAACACAATCAAAGCATTGAGTGAGGCCTATCTCTCTCTGTCTTAACATGGCTCCGAGTAATATCCTTCAGATTAGGGCATCCAGATAGAGCCATAGTGAGCTCCAGCTCTGTCTTGAGTGTTTCAATGACTTGTGTCACCCCAGCTTCCCCTTTTGCAGCAAGTCCATAGATTACTGGCCGTCCAACCTGTATCGATCAGCATTTGATGATAGTTATTATTGAATCTAAGGGAAATTTCAAATATCAATAATCAGATAATTATTATTATAGATCATTAATCTGAATCTTTGCTTTTCTTTAAAGCTTAATGATCAAGTGTGTGTATTGATGGGGTAATGGAGAGGGAGGAGAGGGACGGTCTCATTGAAACCTTTCACTTATTTGGGAGTAATTAGAAATAAAGGAAAAATAATGACGGACTTTCAACCGACCTTTCAAAATCTTCCACAGTCCTCCCCTTGTGTATTTAAAGTTCTTTTGAATTGGGAGACTATGGAGGAGACCTTTTTCCCAAATAGCAGGAAGGAAAATTATCATTTGACTATCGATTCCTCATCCTTATCTTCCTTCCCTTTTTCTTTGAATTTTTTCACTTCTGGAATTTTATTCTCACTTGAGAAATGCGATATCTAAAGAATATAATAGGTTACATTATATCAGTGAATCTGATCTGGGCCCTTCTCCTACATCTCAACTCTCAAACGTACCCAAAAGAGGAGTTAACTCGTGGAATGTAAAAGTCTAGCGCATGTACTCTGCAAATGGTTCCGTAGCAAGTAGGAGGATTCTTGAACACAGAACACGGGTTACAAAAGATAAATTTATCAGCTGGGGTTTAAGAGCTTACAAGGACAGCTTGTGCACCGAGGGCTAAAGCTTTAAATACATCTGTTCCTCGCCGCACACCACCGTCGAGAAGCACAGGAATTTTACCTTTGGTAGCATGCACCACCTGCATTCGTAGGGTGCCAATGTAAATTATACTGGACGTACTAAACCCCACTGATACTCGCAGGTCAATTGTTTCAAGCACGGTATTTTAATTTTTAACTGCATGGCATAGCAAACACGTCTAACAACCTAGATTAAATCAGGTTTCCTTTATGCCTTCTACTTTTATTTATCCTTTTGAACCCCAAATGTATTTTTCTGTACCTGGAAACATGCCAAGTACTATTTTATACTATTAGATATCTGACCCCGTTCATTGCACAGTTTTGATGAATGAATTGCACTGTTTGTAGCTCATGAGTAGTACAGTTTGCTATAGATTTTATGTTCTACTTCCTCTACTCCTATGTACAAGGCAAATTTTAGAAGCAAGTTTTGTCTTTGGCATTAGGTATTTTGGAGGATCGATAAAGCATTAAAGAATGTTTTCCAAATTTTCCCTTATTGTAATGTCAATCAATTAAAAAATAATGTCAATCATGTACTGGGAAATAATAAAAACTTATGTCAAGCGAATGCATAAATTTAATTTCTACTTTTGCAACTGCGAGTGCTGTTCATTACATAACAGTTTTGCGCCATGGTTCTAAATGGCATACAAAATCGCCTGTTGCAGCAGCAGTTTTTGGCTACAATCACATCAAACTAAAAGCAGCTACATTTTCCATATTAATCCCCCTTTTTTTTTTTTGGTGAGCAAAAAACCCATATGCTTTGAAGATTAGAAGAAAAATTATATTAAATTTATTTTATCAGATCTCATATCAAGAATCACTCTTCTAGAACAGAAATGGTGGCTGGGGAATAATCAAGCTGGCGGGCTCCATGATTTGAGACGACTATACCAGCAACGCCTACTTCGACCGCCTTAATAGCTGCCAATAAGATTCCATTACATATTAACTAATATCCAGATTAAAGAGGTCAACAAGAAAGATGAGAATGAACTATCAAGTACATTATTAATAAAGGCATAAAAAAAAATATAGGCAGAAGCATCACCAAGAGATAATAATTAATCAGCAGAAGGATTCTATGTCTGAATTTCTAAGAGATATGAATCAATTTTTTCGCATTAAATCGCAAAGTTCTCAAAGCCTGTCTTTTAAAGGGTTTAGCCAATTCTTCGTAAAATGAATCATCAAGCAGAGTACATGCACTAAACTTTACATACCATCTTCACCAGTAAGTATACCCTTGATAAGAATTGGCAGATTCGTAATAGATTTCAACCATGCCATATCCTGCAGACAATGCGGTGCTCTATTAGTGCATAAAAACAATTGTTTTAGATCTTCACATCAACAATTATGATGACATCTTTAGGCATCAAGCCTCCAGAGACAATCAGCTAAGCCATTTCACCGCGCTCATTACACTAGATCAGTAGTTTTCTGAAAATATGTTACTCCGGTTTAATTCATTGGGTACTGCAGAACTTAAAGATGCTGAAGCTCGAAAATCAGCCCCGTTGAGTAAAAAACATGATTAATTTGATTATATCCTCAGAGTGATGCTTGTTAAACAAACGTTAAGGAGTTCAAAAATTTCATGAGATTTCTATCGAATAGAATTTTTTGTGTGCTTCTGTGCTTCTTTAGATAAAAGTAAATTTTCTTTAGGCCATTTCAATGATTTCATAAAACACTGCTCATCTGACTTTTGAGACATTTCCAATTGTATGAAAAGGGAAATCTGAACTCTCGCCTAATTCTTATCCATACCTTCCATTTCAACGATGCATCAAGTGTCAGATTTGCATAAGCTTCCAAACCTGAACCATTACCCTGCAAGTTA